AGACAGCTTGATTATAGCCTGTAGTTAAAAACAAGCTTAACCCTATGCTGTTCGCATATAAAGAGCGCATCGTACATTGTATTATAACGTGAAAGGCTATTGAAACGGTTCTATTGTATTATATACCTGTTTACCGTTACAACTGTGTCTCTTAACATAATGTTGAAATATAGTAGTCCGTTTGTTTTTTTTTCAAAAGAATGGCTGATATGATAGAGTCGTACATAACGCAAAGGTGTTGATTCGTGATGCCTTACACGCGTCGTCCAATGCGCTCTGTATATGCGAACAGCATAGGGTCTGTCTCTCGTCGTATTCTTTTAGATGGTACGGTACCGCAGGAAATGAAGGTGTTCTTATTAGCATTTCTTTATATTTCATTTAGTTTAGCTCTTCTATGACCATTTTGGCTTGACTAAGCATGAAAAACAAGTATCTGTTCTAGATGGTGTATCAAGCCTCTTGTTATTGATATTAACCAACCTAATCTTGAATATCAGCAATAATTGTATTTGATACTACGTTTTATTATTTGTTTTATTTCTTTTATTTTTTAATATTATAAGTATAAGCAATTTTGTACAAATAACGTAGCCTAGATTATTTGTTATCCTCTGTTTGTGTAATTTGCTACTGATAGGTCTTGTAAAATAAGTCACGAAAAGAATGAATTTTAAAGAATACAGTAACCAGCCTTGGTCCGATATTGATCAAATGTGAATTGTGACATAGGGCAGCTGATGACGTTACTTTCTGATAATCGATAGTATATCAGTTGGACCAGTTCAGAATTGTCAAAATGGAGGGTCACGTGACCCATGATCTCTCAGCGCAATTGAAAAAATGGTAATACATTTTTCTTCCTTGTGATTGGTCATTCTCATTTTGTTTTAACTTTGTTTAAGAATAATCAAATCTTATTGGTCAATGGCCATATATATTATACTAGGACAGTGTATAAGTATTGATGAAAATTCTCATCAGCCCATAGGCCAACACTAGCTTACAACTGTTCAGTAACAACAACTACTACCGTGTTTCTAACACATAAAAGGTAGGATTAAATCTCTATATGGGAAAAGTAATTGAAACATTGATAATCTATTTCAAGAAGTGTTAAAAAATAACCTCTAATCATACAAACAACATTGAAGGTCTAGTAATTACTATAGGCATGGTAAAAACAAACTACCAAAATAATATTATAACATGTTAGAAGTATTCTCCTTGACTGTTATGATTGTTTAATTGTCTTAATTATAAGCTTCAACAGTTTTCTATTTGTGATCTGTTTAATAGATTAAGAACTTAATGTTTTGTATAAAATTACATTGGCATATTTTTTTTTTATGTATGGACAATATTATAATGATAAAAATATATTAGTATTTTACAATAAAATAAATTATGGGTAAGCCTTTCTAAATCTTCAGATATAGTACTACCTCGGGTGCAGGTATGCAATTTAACAAAATGTGACCTAATCAGCTGTGGTAGAAATTTGTTGAATATCGATATCGGTTTTGTAATTTCTTGTTATATTATGTTTTAGATACTGTTATATTTATATTCAACCCTGTAATTCATTGATTTCAATCAATTTGAAAACGAAAAAGACAACATGAAGGTAAGTTCATTTACATAAATGTGTAATCTATTTGCTAGCGTATATTTTTTTTTTATTCAAGTGATCCTTTATTCTAAACTTCTGTGTATTAAACTAGGCATTATTCACTTTCATATTCATTATAGAAATTTAAACAAAAAGAGAATATCTTCGACAATAAGGAACAAAGCTACAGCATAAACCTAAATTCACAGGGTTAAGAAACAGTTAGATAACGTGACATTTAAATACAATAACCATAGTAATGTAACGCATGGATTTGCAGTATTTAATTTTTTTTTATTCACGATCTTCGATTAGTGTCCAAACAACTTTGATAATGGTTTTTGATAGACCCAATTTTGTATTGGAATAACTGATTGATAGGCCCAATATTGATTTATTGAAAGTTCATAGGCCTATACCCCTTCCAAATTAAGTAAATAACATATCCAATACTGTACTTCTATTAGAATTATCTCACATATTTTGTTTTACAGCCAACGCTTACTTGCAACGTATGTAACAAAGTTTTCCAAACTCGCTTCAACTACAATAGACACCTTTCCCGTCACACAGATGTCAACCAGCACCAATGTGATAAGTGCGGTAAAGTATTTGCAAGGCATGACAATTTTGTTTGACACCTTAACAACAAGCATGGTAGTGAAAATAATGCGCAAAGTGGGTATGGTACAGATCAAGTAGATGAACCTACAACCAAGCTACAGAAGTTATCTAACAATGGGCATGATTTTTATCAAGTCACAGATATGACGGAAGTTGATATGAAAAAATTCAAGACGAAAGCAATCCAGTACACCGTTAAATTCAACGACGATTTAGATATTCATGATTCAACTACCGTCCTAAGTACGCTGCATAAAGTTTTTCAGAGTCTCATCAACACCTTGACGGATGGAGCTCACCCCGATGATCTGATTCGTATGGTGGTAGAGTGTCCAGAATTAGATTATCCGATACAACTTACATTGATGAAAAAACGACACTTGACGGCAGAACTGTTTCTTGCGAGAGTAGAGCGAGTACTACAGTCGTACGAAGAATTCAGCATCGATGGGTCACTCGAAATACAGGTTACGCACGTACAAATGCCCAGAGGAGGAAAAATTCCCAAAAAAAGATACGTGGACTTGGAACGCTTCTTAAGAGAAAAACAATGTATTATTAGAATTCAAAATAAAGATGAAATATGTTGCGCTAGAGCTATTATTACAGCAAAAGCTAAAATTGAAAAACCAAAGAACTGGGATGCTATTCGTAAGAGATGTAATGTACAGCAGCAACTTGCTATGGAATTACACCACGTAGCGGGAGTACCTCTTGCTAAATGTGGAATCAATGAGATCAAACAATTTCAACAAGTGCTGCCAACATTTCAAATAATTGTTGCTTCATTAGATTACGGTAATGCAATTATATACCGAGGGCCGCCTGCAAAACAGCAAATCTACTTGTATCATCACAATAACCATTACGACGTTATCACTAGTATGCCCGCTTTCCTCAATAGAAGCTACTTTTGTATCGAATGCATGAAAGGATACAACAATAAGTTAGAACATCGGTGTCAAAACACGTTTAAACTCTGCTTTCAAGGTAACTGTATTAAAGAAATCTGGAAATATTGTGATGACTGTAATAGGTCATTTAAAAGTGAAAACTGTTACAAAAACCACTTAAGACAACTTTCGACATCTTATGGGTCGGTATGCAAATTATATTATAGGTGTAGAGACTGCGATCAATTCGTTAGCAGAAAAGGCACAGAGGAAAGCCACATCAATGTGGCGAAAAATACTGCGTAATCTGCAAAACTTTTGTACAACAAGATCACCTTTGTTATATGCAGCCAGTAAATAATGAAACGATGAAGGATACAAGTGACGAAATTGATGATGAGATAAATGTAGTTAGCCCAAGCTATATTTTCTTTGACTTTGAATGCATTCAAGAAACTGGCATCCATGAGCCGAATCTTTGTATCGCTCAAAAAGTATGCAACGCATGTATTAACATCGATGAGGGTGAATCTTGTTTAAAGTGCGGTGAACGCGAAAAACAATTTTATGGCCTCAGCACTCGTGAAGATTTTTGCAAATGGCTTTTTAATGAAGAAAACGCCGGTGCAATTATCATTTGTCATAATTTCAAAGGTTACGATTCATACTTTGTTCTCCGATACCTTTACGACAATGCCATTCTACCAGAAGTAATCTACAATGGAGCTAAAGTTATGAGTATTAATGTAGCAGCTACAGTACAGACATGAAATTCATAGACTCATTAAATTTTCTTCCTATGGCTCTGTCTAAACTTCCAGGGGCATTTGGCCTTAATGAGTTAGCAAAAGGATATTTTCCGCATCTTTTCAATACAAAAGCTAATCAAGAGGGTGTCCTTGCCCATTTGCCAGATATGCATTATTACAACCCAGACGGGATGTCAATTTAGATCCCTGTTTATGGAAATGACCGAGGATGAATGTAGTCCTGGAATAGATCCCTTTCAAAACTGTATTACGATTGCATCAGCATGCAACTTAGTGTACCGTACCAAATACTTACCACAGGACACTATCGGAATCATTCATCCCTTAGGGTACCCTTCGAATGATAGGCAATCTATCAAAGCTCTTCAATGGCTGAAGTGGATGTCCCATAAAAATGGACAATATATTCAACATGCTGCCAATCAGGGCGAAAAACACATTGGTAAATACAAAGCCGATGGATATATCCAGGCAAACGGGGAGGAAATAGTACTTGAGTTTCACGGCTGTCTACACCATGGACACACGTGTATGGAACGTGAAACAAAACACCCCTTAAACGGTTTCAATATGGAAGAGTTGTACCAAAAAGACTATAGATAAACGACGGTATATCACAGACCTAGGGTATAAGTATTATTGAGCAATGGGAATGCGAATTTGACAAAGAGATCAAACAAAACAATGAAATGGCCGATTTCATAAAAACATTGACTATTCCATCACCACTTGTCCCTCGCGATGCTTTCTTTGGTGGTAGGACAAATGCTGCTAAGCTATACTATTCGGTTCAACCCAAATGAAACGATAAAGTATGTTGATTTTACAAGTTTATACCCCTTCGTTAACAAAGTTGGAATATATCCAATAGGGCATCCTATAATAATAACAGAACATTTTAAAGATATTACTGAATATGAAGGTGTAATAAAATGTAAAGTGCTTCCTCCTAAAGGGCTTTACCACCCAGTTTTACCTTACAGAGCTTCTGGTCGTTTAATGTTTCCTCTCTGTTCCAAATGTTGCGAGTCGCTCGTTCAATCTCCATGTGAACACAGCGATGATGATCGTGCGCTTGAGGGTACATGGGTAACACTTGAGTTAATCAAAGCCTTAAACAAAGGATATAGAGTATTGAAAATATTTGAGGTTTGGCATTTTGAAAACACATTGGTATACGACCCTGTGACTAAGGATGGTGGACTATTCACAGCTTACGTTAATGCCTTCCTCAAGTTAAAACAAGAAGCCAGCGATTGGCCTAGTTGGTGTAAGACCAAAGAACAACGAGATACATATGTACAGTTGTACTTTGAAAAAAAAGGAATTGTGCTAAATCCCCATAATATAAAAAAGAACCCTGGTTTACGTGCATTGGCCAAGCTTATGCTAAATTCATTTTGGGGGAAATTTGGACAGCGCCCAAACATGACTAAAACCACGTATATCGACGATCCAGAGGAATATTTAGAAATGATGACTCACGATGACACTGAGGTGCATAATGTAAACTTTGTAAATGACCAGATGGTAGAAGTACAATGGCAACAAACTAAAGACTTTGTAGAACCGTCTGGTCGTACAAATGTAATCATAGCGGCCTATACATCTGCACAGACGCGTCTTAAATTATACGAACACTTAGAACAGCTTGACAGGCGTGTATTGTACTACGATACCGACAGTGTGATATACGTAAGTCGGGAAGGACAATGGGAACCGCACATTGGGGATTTTTTGGGCGAATTAACGGATGAATTGGAATCAGACAACCACATCGTCACATTTGTGTCTGGGGGACCAAACAATTATTCTTACAAATTAGCCAAGCCAGATAGGAATGGAAATTTAACTCATTGTAAAGTTCGGGGAATTAGACTGAATTATCGTAACGACTGTTTAGTCAACTTTGGAAGCATGTTAAAAATGGTTCAGGGTGAAGGTCCAAAGAAAATACAAGTCACAGACCCCTACAAGATTGTAAGGGAAAAGAAGAACATTAATATCGAAACACGAGAAGAGAAAAAAATGTATCAAGTTGTATACACAAAACGGGTGCCTATAGG